CAGAAACTGGCTGACGTCGTAAAAGAACGGTTATTGGAAGGCCATGGCGAGACCGTCTTCGACGTGGGTTTCGAAAACAATGGCGAAGGAATGAAGTTGTCTCGCGAGGAGTGGGACACGGCACATAAGCGGTTAACGGAGGCGGCCAAGAAGTTGGGAGCCAACACTCAACTATTACTGACGAAAAACGTGGGTGGCGATCTTGATGGGGCGCCGACCAAGGATGGGGACTGCAGCGGGAAAGTCATGATTCGCCAGGCACCGGAGACGGCTGAGGAAGTCATCGAGACGAGGATAGCCGTTGTTGGGAATGTTGACGCCGGCAAAAGCTCCATGCTCGGTGTTCTCGTCAAGGGCGACCTAGATGACGGCCGAGGCAAGGCGCGAGTCAACCTTTTCCGACACAAACATGAGATCGAGACGGGGCGGACGTCATCTGTCGGCATGGAGATCATGGGGTTTGACACGACTGGCCAGGTTGTGGTCTCGGACACCCCGGGACGCAAGCTGTCATGGGAGGAGATCGGGAAGCGCAACGCAAAAGTCATCACTTTCACCGACTTGGCGGGCCACGAGCGCTACCTGCGTACCACGGTGTTCGGGCTTCTGTCCAGCAGCCCGAATTATTGCCTGCTTATGGTTGCGGCCAACAACGGTCTCATCGGCATGAGCAAAGAGCACCTAGGAATTGCACTTGCCCTGAACGTGCCAGTCATGGTGGTCATCACCAAAATCGACATTTGCCCGCCTCAGATCCTGGAGCAGACCATTACGCAGATAACGCGGATTTTGAAGAGCCCTGGGGCAAGGAAGATACCCATCTTTATTAAGAACCACGAAGAGTGCATCAACACAGCCACTCAGTTTGTGAGCCAGCGGATATGCCCCATCTTTCAGGTGTCAAACGTGACGGGCGAGAACCTCGATTTGGTCCGCTCGTTCCTCAACATACTCCCGCACCACGGCCGCTACGATGCCGACGCTGCTTTCGAGTTCCATATCAACGACACTTTCAGCGTCCCTCATGTCGGGACAGTCGTATCTGGGATCGTCAAGTCTGGCGTGATACATGCTGGAGATGACGTCCAAATCGGGCCGGATTCACTGGGACGTTTTACGCAGACCTCGATTCGCTCCATCGAGAGGAAAAGGATAGGCGTACCCGCTGCATCCGCCGGCCAATCCGCCTCGTTTGCTCTGCGGCGGATTCGAAGAAAAGATGTGCGTAAGGGGATGGTGGTGCTGTCCAAATCGGACGGAGCCCCCCCTAAGGTGTACCGCGAGTTCGTGGCCGAAGGTTTGTTAGCTCCCGGACCGCGTATCATGTCGCATGCTGATTATCTTTTAGTGCTTATCTTGTCGCACGCAACGACCATCAAGACCAAATATCAGGCGATGCTACACGTCGGGCCGGTTTCCCAGACTTGCGCCATCATTGATGTTGACCGTCCTTTTATCCGGACTGGAGACCGAGCTACCGTCGCTTTCCAGTTCGTGCAGCGGCCCGAGTACCTAGCGCCCGGTGATCGACTCCTCTTCCGAGAGGGGAGAACGAAAGGTCTTGGGATCGTTAAGAGCGTCGGGTATGATCCCTCTAAGCCACTCATGCCAAAACAACCGGAGGGTGGTGTTAGTGATGAGCAGCGGGGCCCTGGGCCCGACGCCGAAGAGGCGGAAGATGTCAATGTAGCCCGTGGTGTCAAGGCCGAGTGAGTGAGCGAGTGAGGTATGACCCAGTACGGCGTGCGTCAGGCTTCGGCCCCTTACATTGTTGGGCAACTCTGGAGTTGTTGATTGTCAAGGCAAATTGCTTATTAGAACATGGGTTATTTCGCGGATGGGGAGAGTTCGACCGCCAAACGGATGGTATGCAGCGGACGGCGTTTTATGGTTATATCTTTGCCTAGTTTGATCCCTACTTTGTCCTGCAAGACAGCGGCTATGGCGCCATGAGATCCCGAATAGATAACAGAGAACCCCCTCCGTTCGGGTTCGTTACTATGAGTGCTATGGGTCTTCGTGTTGGACATTGACCGTGACGCAGGCAGGAGATTTCGTGACGATAGTCAATCAAGAACAGCCACCATACCGGGGAGCTTAAGTAACCCCCCCTACCTGGCTTGCGTCCGGAGCCAGTCAAGGTCGGTGGCTATTGTTCTGCCATGTCATGCCCACCGCCGATGCCGCCAAAGAGTGCGGACTTGGTCTTGAATGCGCCTTCGCTAAAACTGCGAGTGGCTGCGCGCATGATAGGGGACATCTCAAAGGGATCAGAATGATCGTGCTTGAGGAGAGATGAGAACAACGCTGTCTCCTAATCATATTGTTAGTCGGGCGGGGTGATTTTATGTGAGGGGTGTGGCTTTTATGACGAACCTCTTACGAAGAGCATCTCGGATTTCTTGCTCACAGTCTGCACCGGGTTGTGTGAGTAACGGCAGCGATGATTCTATTTTAAGACATAAAAGGTTACGGCCTAGCTTACCTTGACATCCTCTTCGTCTTCTTCATCAACGACGTAAATGGTCTCCTCCACATCGCCAAGCACCAGATTACAATGACTATCGTAAGCCTAGGAGGCGGAGGAGGGGTGGGTGTTAGTTGGAGGGAGCTTGCGTTGGGGTTAGGGGAAAATGTGGGGCGAATTTGCTGCTCACATGAAGGCGGCCCTTGAGTTCTCGGTCCCCTCTGAGCTTCACACAAACCACTTCATCGAGCAACAGGCGCACGAGGTCGAGGGGCTCCGACACCGCGCTGCCTTCATCTCTGACTTCGGCCATGGTGGGATGTAATGAGTCGCAAGTTTATATGACCTTGGCGTGTATTGCTGATTTGGGCGCTGGTGTTGTCTGCTTCGGAGGTCGGGCAATACGCGCGGTCAAAGGGCGGTCGTGGAGGGATGGTGGGCTTGTGGTTTTCCCGGGGGGCACAGGCCACTGAAGGCAACAAGCCTGGTGCGAGAAGCACGGGCAGATTGTGCCCCATGTCACCGCCTGCCTGATGGGGCAGTATGGCAGGTGCCAAAGTAACGACTCCATACCACAGCAGATGCCGCTGCCGCTACAGCCCCACCTCGAGGCACAGGGGCAGCATTTCACACGCGACAACCTGACAACTTCCCCGTTCAACGCAAAGGCTTTGGCGCACGCATAAAACGCGAATTGTCGAGAGACGGTGGTATGTATTCCTGCTAGTGGAAGGAGTGGATCGAGACCATAATGGAGCGGAGTTATGCATTCGGGGTCAGCGTAAGTATTTTACTATTGTTTTAACCAACGAAGCGAAGCCCCCGTAGTGTAGACAAATGAGGGGACGGCAACGGTTCTTGGTCCTGGTTTTCATCACCGACCCTTGACCTTCTCCAGCCTCAGGTCGTTGATATACATATACCTGCTCAGGGAGATCCAACCGTACCGAAACCAGACCATCTGGCTCTTGTGCGCCGAAACCATGGCCCTCCACGCAGTTGTGATGCTGCCGTACCCCATTAAGCTGCTGAGGAAAACCAAGCCCCCGGGGTGCTTCTTGTCCTTCTTATCGGCGCCGACGGCCCAGCTGGCGAGTGTGGTCAGCACGTCCAAAAATCCAATGTATTTTCGTCCCAAGGACACTGTCTTGAGGGTGTAGAGATCGACGGGCGGCTGCCAGCCTGGTTTGCCAGCCACCAACTCCGCGATAAAAGCCTTGGCGCCGTGGTACAAGGAAATGTGGTTTGGGTGGCCGGAGACACCACCGGCGTCGAACGTTACGAGCACGTCGATAGCGGCTGCCGGGGCCGTCTCGCTGTTTCGCATCCTGGCAAGGTTGGGTGCGAAGGCCGAGCAAAGCAGGGCCGAAATGTCGCCGCTGTCCCACTTTGCCGTCATGCTGTCAGGGAATTCGGGCTTGTCAACGACGAAAACGTCGTCCGTCGAGCGTAGCCCGAGGATCAAGCCCGACTTGGCGAGTTCGCGCTTTCGTGTCTCGCCGAGGCCGTCTGCATTGCCTACCATGAGATGATTCTCGTTAGCGGCCGTAGTATAAGGCTGGGGGTGGAAGAGGGGCGGGCGCATACCACTGCTCAGACAGAGGATCTTGACGTGGTTTCCCGTCTCCGGTCTGGCGAGCGCCATGACGGTAGGCGAGAAGAACATGGCCTCGTCATCAGGGTGCGCAATAAGAAGGCAGACGCGTTTGTTACGCACGGCTGGGAAGCGCTCCGAGACCACGGAAGTGGTGTAGACGTATAGTGACGGGAGCACGACGGCTAGCACGCCGACAGTCACGGGCCAGTCCATCGTGCCCCTACCCAAGCAGATCGGCGAGAATGTTGACCCCGTGGGCCAAATGATACGGCTATGCAGGTCGCTTCGCAATGTATGTCGGCGGTAGCGTATAAAGAACGCGCCCCAAGAGCTCGGCGCTCTGCAGCGCAGGGAAGAGAGGGGCACGCGAGTGGAGTAAAGTGCAACCAACCGGACCTGTAACAAGCGCCTCGAGTTCAGAAAAAAAAGCAGAAACTCGTGGGATTTTATGCACAAGACCAGAACTTAGTTTAGTGACTTGCTGCAGCTGTAGAGGCGGTGAGAGGTCAGTCGCATGTGGGGAGGGGGCCGAGAAACGGGGTTTTGATGGGCTTGGTGGAACGGCACATGGGAGGACCCCCTGACCTCGAGGTGGGGTATGAAGTGTCTCTGCAACCACACAGTCGATCTGCCGGGTCACGTTCGTTCCGAGGTAAAATATCTACACAGTACGAAGTATCTCAACAGAACTTGGACTGGCAGGTACGCAGCTCAATGTCAACGTGCAAGCTCTGATTGGGCATTTTTGGACTCCTAGTGTGGGATTCAACAACCCTCCTGAAAGCCATCATCACCCGTTATCTATTGATACCGAACGGCGTAAGTACTCTGTATGCGATCTATGTATTCGTACGTACACCGGCGCGATGACAGGGGTCGCGGCACTGGCGGCGGACCCCTGTTGCGAATGCAGATCGCGACTTCTCGATCACCGTCTCATTTTTGTCGTCGCGCCGTGTTGTCCCGTTCCCTCAATTCATACCACCCAAGCTCACCACAATGGCAAGAAGACGCAGAGAACGATCCCCGTCCAACCTCAAACTAAAACAACCCGATCGATCAGGCCCGTCGGAGAAGACGTTACTGCAGCTCGCCGAGGAAAGAGGGCTGTTCGACCAGGCAAAAAAAAGGGAGGACGAAATCGAGAACAAGGCTTGCCCGGTTCCCATCCCGCGCCCACCCAAAAATGGAGAGGAAGATGATGACGAGGAGGCTGGGTTGCCGCCCACTGTTGAGCGTGTACTTGAGACGCTGCTCTGGTCTGTGAGCCTGTCTATGCTGCACTTCACCCTCGACGTCCTCGTCCAGCATCAATATTCGGTGGACAGCATAGTATGGCCCAAGGTTTGGATGAGGTTTGGTCAAGCGTTATTAGGTGAGTCCGTCCGCCGTTATGGTGCTGCTGTGTTTAACTCTGAGCCACAATGCTAACCCCATTTCAATTGCCCTCTAGTTTTCGGCCTGCTTATCTATGTCCTTCATCCTCATGCTGCGAACCCAGGTTTGGTTCCCGGTCTGCCCCCGCGGTACCAGTCAGCCCTCCGGCAAGCCATATTCTTTATCACGAGCATATTTGCCGGCTGCTACCTGATCCACATCACCAACGCATTCGGGTATATGGCCGTCATGAAACAGGCGCCGCCCATTGGTTGTCTCTGGGTGTGGTCTGTCATCGAACTGGATCTTGCTTGGGCTGTGCTCAGCCTTTCGGGCGCAGGGGCGTTTCTGTGGCAGAAGGGATACAGTATAAAGTAGGGAAAACGTGAGTGTTGGATTGCGACCCGCGAGTCCCTCCAGAAGTTCCGCGAAACCGGAAGCACTTCCCATGATTCCCACTCTAGATGGTTCATTTTTTCCCATAGAACACTTGATTTCCCCTTCCGGGACTTCCTTACCTTTCCTAATCACAAGCCCCTTTCCTCTGGCACTCACCTGCGACTGCCAAAAACGTCCTCACCTCGCGCCTTCTCCAGCGAGCTGCTGCGATGGCACCATTGGCAGCTAGAAATGTCCGTAATGCTTCAGGCCGGCGCGTAGGTTCGCTTTCTTTCGAGTGCGCCTGCCTACTTCCCAGGTAACCTACGAAAATAAGGCTAAAGGTCGTTGGCCAGCCCAGCACCTTCCTCCGTGACACAGCGTCGGTCCGTCGATCTCTCCTCGTGGTTGAAAAGGGCGTCCAGGCTGGTTCAGGCTGGGGTCTTCGTCACCCAAATCTCTCCTACGCACTTCTCCTGAACCTCACTCAATAAGGTAGCATCTTCAAATCGGCGTTGACCACCACATCATCTAACGCGCCGTTCTACTCAATATTTAATACATTCGTCAAGACCTCACGCCATCCGTCCCAACAACCAGGGTCGTTACAATGCTCTCCACTCTACTTTCGATCGGGCTGTTTCTCTCGCGAGGGCATGCCGCGCCTGCAGCAACCGCCAACTTGACGGCACGAGCTATCCCCAGTGGCATCATCATCGAACACTGCACGGTCCCCGGTGTAGTGGCCCTCACGTTCGACGATGGCCCATTTATCTACACCAGCCACATCTTGGACCTGTTGGACCAGTACGGCGCCCAAGCGACTTTCTTTATAAACGGCGAGAACTGGTCCCGCGGTATCGGTGACTTCTCGAGCCCTTGGCCCGAGATCTTGCGGCGTATGGACCTTTCAGGTCATCAAATCGGCTCCCACACCTGGGCGCACGCCGATCTGTCGTCCGCCGATTCGCCTACGCGGGAGTTCCAAATCTACGAGCTCGAAAAAGCACTTTTTGCTGTTCTCGGCAAAGCCCCCACCTACCTTCGACCGCCCTATGCTTCCTGTTCGGGAGACTGCCTCCATGAGACAGAGCAGATGGGACTACATGTGGTCAACTTTGACGTTGACCCCAAGGACTACCTCCACAACGACCCGAACGATATCGCCGCCGCCATGGAGAATTTCTCCAGAGCTCTGGATGAGCGCCGGTGGGGTGATTCGTTCCTCGTCCTCAGCCATGACTCGCTGCAGAATACAGCCGAGTTCTTAGTCCCGCACATGCTCATGGAGATCCAGCAGCGCGGATACCGGGCTGTCACAGTGGGGGAGTGTCTCGGCGACCCCCCTGAGAATTGGTACTGGTACCTATGAAGGGGTTATGAGTTTCTGTTGCGAAGGGATGTGGTGTTACAGGCCAGCAATGTGGCGACAGCGGATTTCTAAGAGTGCCGATTAAGGAAGCACGAGCGTCTGGTCGCTAGTCAGGTTCCGGATGGGGGTCTCAACGCTGGAACACGGCTTGGGTTTTACACGGCGGTTGTGGAACGGCCGGTTGGACATATCGTTTGGTTTTGTATGCTGACTCTACTCATGGTATTCTTAGGTTTGTCGATAGAGCACAGAAAGTAATGTGTATTTCTTTCTGCGATTATACTCCTCAACCCCATGCGTGCGAGCTTGTTTACCGCCCCTGCAATGCCCCTTCCTGGTCCCAGAGGTATGCTTCTAACCCTCGTCGCGGACTTACCCGAACTCAAGGCGGCGGGCGGCCTTTCCGCTGTTACGCAAGCGTCTGCAGCTCGTTTAGAATGTTGTCAATCTCGCCCGCGACAAAGATCGGGTCGTCCTTCTGGATGAAGTGGCCGCAGCCCTTGGCAATCTTCATATCACTCGTCGCTTGTGCAAGCCGGGTCAGACCGTCATTGTACGCACCCCAGGCCGGGTTCATATATGCGTTGACGATGGCCTTTGGTACGGACAGTGAGCCCTGTATCACGAATTTATGATTAGTAGGCCACACCGAGGCACCGAGTCCGTTTAAGCTTACATTCTCACACTGATCCGCAAACTCATCCCAATCATGTCCCACAACCGTCAATAGGGGAGGCTCCCCGCCGGGGCCGTTGGGTAAGGCGGGTTTACTCGCATACGGCAGTAACTCCCTCAGGTTCCTCCGATCGAAATGCTCTGGGTTGGGCACCGTAGGGTGGAAAAATTGACGGACCCTCTCCCGCGTATGCCGCAGCCCCTCAGCCGTGAGGCCCTCCGGCAGCTGGCCCTCATCAAAACCGGGCTCGGCCGGGTCAGGAAACACGGAGACAAAGTCCGTATTTGCCATCATCGAGTCAAGGAAGAGGTACGCCGCTACACGGCCAGGGTGTTCGGCTGCGTAGAGGCGGGCGAGGGCACATCCGATCGAGTTGCAAACCAGGATTATGCGAAGGTCCTCGATCTGGCGATTGAGTTCGTCCTGGGAAACCTGGATGAGAAGCTGGTGGAGGTCGGCGATGGCAGCGCGGGCATCATGGCCGTAAGGCGAATCTGGGATGTCGGACGGGTCCGAGTCAGATTTCCCTTGGCCGTAGCGGTCATAGCAGAGTAAAGTGGGCGTCGGCCGGTTGGAATCGCTGCGGAGTTTGAAAAGATGCTCGACTGTTCCAGTCCAACCGGCAGAAGGGAGTACGAGGCCGTTGAGGAATACAACAAGAGTGTCAGATAACTGTCTCTCATCCTGCGGCCGGTGGTGGGCGATGGACACGTGGAGGGAAGCACCAGGCTTGGTTTTCAATGTGATAGTTTTATCCTCCATATTGACGAAAACAAGGGTTTATAAAAGGAGACAACGTTCCGGCAGATGATTTTTCAAGTGGTGGCCGGGTTGCATGGCAAGCTATATTTATATGTGAGGAGTTGGGCAAGGTACCTAATGGATGATGACGTGAGATCTGCGGAGCTGTCAAGACCGACAATGTCATGCAGGATTTTAATGGCACCGGACACTAAAGCAACGATGGGTTAACAAGATTTCTTCGTGTGCCGCAGCCCACATAGGGTTTCCCAAACAGGTAGGTCTGTGGAAGACATGCTCCTCTAAACCGAACCCCCAAGCCGGGTCACTACGGGTTGGTATGTGAGCGTTGCAGCCCAAACAATGAACAACGTGTGGTCAGATTATCTTAGTGGGCTTTCTTTCCTAAAACGATCGTGCAGATTATGGTTAGTAATTCGCGTACCTTCCATTGGCTCGTCGTGACTCAGAGGAACACTCACCCCGGCCCAACACCCAAGGCAACTTCATACATATCACTTCTCCTTCCTTCCTGTGACTCTTGCTCCACCTCCATTTCCACGACACCCGGCGTCTCCCCACTAAACCAAACCCACTTAGCAGCAGTCGGCAAAAATGGCCATGAAAATCACAGCCGTGAGTCTGCAGTGTCCTCCCGACAAGACATGGCTAACACGCCCGTTAGCTTTCCGTATATCCCATCAAGGGTTTGCGCGGCATCGAGCTCGAGTCAGCCCAGATTGGGCCGCTGGGAATAAAGCATGACCGAAGCTTTATGCTGTACGAAGTGCATCCGACTACTGGGGAGCTGAAGAAGATTCAACTGGACACACACCCAAAATGCGCCCTATTCGAACCGCACATCACCCCCGGACTTCAGGACGGGCCTTCTCTGCTCGTCGTGCGGTACCTTGGCCGCGCGCTGCAGGGCTCCGAGGCCGCCGAGGAGGAAAGTACAATCGAGATGCCGCTTGAGCCGGACATGTCCTGCCTTGAGAAAACCGACGTGGTTCTGCATGGTAGCCCGGCGTCAGCCTACCGTATGGGTGACTCATATGACACCTGGTTCAGCCAGCATTTCGGAGTTCCCACCGTGTTGATCTACCTTGGCGACGGACGGCGACCTGTCCTGGGTAAAACCCTCCCGCCCAAACCCGCCCAAGAGCAGCAGCGACAGGGGTGGATGTCTTCCCTGACCTCTTATATCACCTCGCCCCAGAAATCAGACGGCAGCTCGGGCGCGTGGATATCTTTCAGTGACGTTGCGCCCTTGATGGTAGCATCCGAACCATCCTTGCAGGACGTCAGAGACCGCCTTCTCAACGGCGAGCCGGTGGAGATGTATAAGTTCCGCCCCAACATCGTCGTCGACGGCGAGGGCGAGGATTCGTGGGCAGAAGACTTCTGGGCCGAGCTTACCATAGGGCCTAGCGGAAGCCCACAGCAGGGTACCCTTCAGTTGACGGGTAACTGCGTGAGGTGTCTCAGCTTGAACGTTGATTACCGGACGGGGAAACCAGCGGAAGGGGAACTAGGCAATGTTCTGAAAAGACTCATGAAGGACAGGAGGGTTGATACAGGGTCAAAGTGGTCACCTGTGTTTGGCCGATATGCCTTCCTGGACAGCCGCCACACCGAAGGCATTACCGTGTCAGTGGGTGATAGCGTTGAGGTCACTCGGCGCAACACGGAACGGTCCGTCTGGGACTGGCCGGACTTGTGAAACTTCGGATCAATGCTGGCTTCGGTTTCTACCTTCGGGCACTTCTCATTTTGACATCTTAATATATTCAACACATGCTGGGCGTTAGGGACCTCAACTATGCCTAATATATCGTCACCTTGCTTCAGACTCACACAGTGCCCCGAACCAGATCCATGTTTGTCGGGCTCGTCAACTTGCTCAGCCACAACTTCATCCGAGTCGTGTGTGGTACGTAGTGTAAAGGGCAGTTGGCCAGCTTAACAAATATTCATTCTCCTTCCATAACCAACCCGAACTATCAGGCATTAGTCACCTCCCTTCTTTGCCACTTCCTAATATCCATAGTATTAGTATAAATCGTACTCGTTACTTACCAGGGCATGGCCGCGGCCCTCGGGCGGAATATGGTACATTATGGCCGTTGAATATCGGGAGTCAAGGAAGGGCAGTAAGTACTATTTTGGTCAGTACGCCTCATGATAGTTGATTTTGGTAGTCGTCATGCTCTAATCTTGACAGTTCTTACTGCGCTTACATGAGCTATGAAGCCGATGACACGTTGGTGGTATACTATTGATACTATTTAACCCGTCGGACTGTTCCTGTGAACGGGAGGCCACTCGCTAGCTCCGTCCAGTCTATGTTAAATGAGATACAGAGGAGAATACAAGTAGCTTTTCATGGAGTAGGAGGGTTTTGAATTCTTAGTTTGGCCCCCTAACGCGAAGGTTACCCGAATGGTGTGGTTGGACTCTGTAGTAGCTGCCCTCGGGTTATACACTTGCTCCAGGCTGTCTCACGAAGGGGCTTCTACGCTTGGTCAGTGGACAATGAGATCTTTCTTACGCCGCCGCCCCGTGCAAACACCCGGCGGCTACGGCCATTGTTATTCTCAATAGGCTGTCGAGGACGTCAAATGAACGTTATTGATGGCCCCCATTAACCACAGTTCCATCGTAATCTTTTTTCCATCTCTTCCTCTGGTTCCTACATCCTATCTGGACAGCATTATGGCGAGCTGTTTTTCTCACATTTATAACACATGATCGCATGCATCTGGGGAGGAGGTGAATTATCAAAGCCCAAACAAGACCCCATACAGTACTAAAGAACTACCGCATCCTGCTACAGCCGTCAGGGCACCAACAGCTTATGTTATTGAGTTGGGTGCTGCAATCGGTCCGTCGAACACTGGGCGAGGGCGTGAGTCCGGCTCCGCTCGCCTCTAAAGGCCGGAGTGGCAGAGTGGCGAAGGAGACGCGTACAACCCCCTGAGAGAGCTGCAGATCAAACGCCCGACAAGCCTTTTCGGCCCGGATCTCGGATGATGGTTATTTAGTAAGTGCCCTCCAATGAGCGAGCGAACGTCCCTTGCCACATACACTTAGTGCCTAGGTCTGCACCTATGACAGCACGAAATAGCGGAATTATACCCAGATATCTCCCCGCCCAGTGTCAATGAACCGACGGATATGCGCAACACAAGGGTGTGAAGCCGAAGCCCGGGCACTGCGAGGTGGATGGGTAAGCGGCAAGGCTCGGGTATACGCCTGACCTGTGGTTGGAAATTGGCCAAGTATGGAAAATGCGGCAAGCAGGAGGGAAAGCAGTAGCTGCTCTGGGCTCGCCACCGGAGGCACCAGAAACCAACCTATCTGTCTTGCTTGTATACCTCCTAGCCGAGGGTTTGGTTTTCCTTTCGCCCCTGATCGGCAATGGGTTACGATTCACATCCCACCGCGCATTTCTCGAGAAACACAAAATTTCCCGAAAATCTAGCGGATACATCAGTATACCGAGGTGGGTGTCAATAAACATAGGGTATAACGAGGGCCGGGCTCATTCGTTGAAAAATGAGACCCAGGGCAATGACTGTACCGTGGAGGGCCCATTGCCCGGGCGCTTGGCCCGATTCCCCGTGGGCCGGACCGGATGACCTACACATAAAATTTCCTTTGAGGTACACAGCTCCGTGCTTGGAGCGGCTACCGGTTGTGGAGCTAACACCGTATGTTTGCATTGTGTATGTCGTGACAATGAACCCAAAGGGGAATATATTGTTTACCATCTCGGTGCAGCGACCAGTTCGAGTATCCGCTATGACCTTTCTAGTCGGATAGGAGTATGAGCGGATAGAGGCAGGCTTGTTGCGTCTCGTGAAGAGTGGACAGAGCGCATTGTACTCGGTGCGAAGTTCCAAAACGTGGCCAATGGTAAAACACGGAAATGGGCATAGTTTCATGACGATGTTGCCCCCCCATTGGCGTTGTGGCAGAAGGGTGTGACGCCTGGTGCTTTACCGATGGAAGGGCGGGTAATTACTGCATTCACCTTCTGCAACACTACGGCTGTCGGCGGTTGTTGGTGTTATGAAGGCTCAGTTCGCTGTCAAACGGGAGCGAAGACAAACGGGCTGTTATCATTTCTCAAGTCGTAACCCACAGGAATGGCACTCGGGCATGCCCGTGTCAAAGAGACATCAAGATATTGCAGAGGTTGTGAGATATGCCGTTTTCGCCAGGCATCTGGGCTTGGCTGGTCGATTGGATTTGACGCCACCGGGTAGCATGCCGAGCCAAATAAATGTGAATAGCGTAGCGAATGCTGCCAAACCCCTTGACCATCATGTGTGTCACCGTCGCCCAGGACAGAGCTGGTGGCACGAGAGATGCCGGACCTGATACTACGGTCCGTCGTCTTGGGGATGGCCATTATACCACACTGCGTACCAATCCTCTTGAAGGACCTCTGCTATATGCGGGATGTCCCTATGCAGCACAACCCGCTTCGATGGTACTCCCCACTTAGATTACGTGCAGCGGCTGGGAAATTGCATGCACCACTCTGCACGAACATATCACGGGGCCCTTTTGCTGCCGGATTTGTTGAAGGCTGCGCCATGGGCCGGCTAGTCAGGGAGTATCAGGTCCCATTTCGCGGCTCTGCAGACTCGGAACGGCTTGCGGTAGGTATTGTGGGAGTGTGGTTATCATGGTGAACAGGAGACGGGATCGGGCTGGTTGATCAGTGGGTAAGCGGGAATACCTCTAAGCAAGTCGTCTCGTCTGTTCCAGCCTAAGACATCATTTGCGGCCCTGGTATGTCCTTTTGGCACGGTGCATGGGCTCATCGACGTTCGATACCACATGGTGGTCAGGGGGCGATGTTGTTCCGAGGATGGTTTGCGGCCTGCCCCACTTCTCCAACAAGGGTCGCTGGAGTGGAGTTGGAGGTTGGAGAAGCCAAGGGTCTCGGGGCTTGACAAGGATTAGTTAGACAAGGTCTTTGGAGGGCCGCAAGTGGCTTCTGCTTGAGCTCCCGAACTTGGAAATGTTGTTCAGGGAGGTTGGCTGTCAAGCTGTGTCAAGCTGAGTAGTAACCGGTATTTGGTTGTTTGTAATTCTACTGCTTCAAGCAAAGCCACGAGCCGCAGAGGACCCCCTTTTGCATCATTGCTCCCTGGAGAGTTGCTGGTGAGGGAATTTGGCGTTGAAGTGAGTGAGTGTCGGGAGCGTTGGTTTGGTTTGATGCCGGTGTCGCAGATACGCGAGGAGGGCCCGATCCCGTTGGCGGCAGGGAGCTGGCGAATCCGAGACAGAGCAGCGACACGGGCTTGCACCGTCTGCTGCAAGCCTGGGCACCCTGACCATGCGCCTGACCGTTTTACTGCGGGTTACTGTGTGCAGCCAAGTCGCGCTTCACCCCAATTCCAGAACTTGCAGTGTTCTGGGATGGAGAATGCGTGGGCTTCTCATTTGTCCACCCGAGCCACTTCGATTTCGGGGTGAGTTGAAACGTAATCTGGATCAAGTGGGAACTTCGGCAGCGTTTTGGAGGTTGGGCGGCGTCTCTTGACCCATACGGATTGTGATATTGATTTGGAGTTTTTGGGGAGGGCGCGCTGAGGTAGTCAATTTTCAATTATCCATTCCTCTGACTGCACAGGCGGAATCCAGGGACCGCATACATTGGGTAAAACAACGCCTGTTTGCGACTGCTCCCAACCTTTGGGCCTGCCCAAAGTTGATGGGTTGCTGTTGGGACAGTGCGGGGTTGTTTCAGGGGCAGCCAGCGTGTATGTCTGGTCTTTGGAAAGTTGCCCGGCGTTCAGGCGTTAAAAAGAAAAAAAAAAAAAAAACCTCAAGTCCGGTCGGCAATTATATACCTAGAGGGAGCGGGGAATGCCATGCAATTTTCGTTTTTCTGTTCTACGCCGATATGTCGTGGTTGAAATGCTTTCGCTCTCAGCTGAAGCTCGGAGCTCTAGGAGCTTGGGCCATGTAAAGAGATGCCCCGCGATGCAGGGCTTATCTGTGTTTTACCCCTCCAAGGTGTTCTTATCACTCTCTCGCTCCTGTGGCGCATGGCGGGGTAAAATGGAATGGGGGACAACTGTCCGACCGGGAAGGTTTCAAGGAAATATTTTCATCCTTGGACTCGGCAACGATTGAGTGGCTGGATTTGACCCTTGACGCCAGGAATGTAGGAGATTTATTGCCTTGGGCGGTGTAAAGCATCGCGACCTGCGGCATTGGTAGCTTGAGTCAAAACTTGACTTGTTCGCGGGGTGTTTCGAAACCCCCCGAGCCCACAAAACAACCCGAATCTTAGGCCTTGTTACGTGGGGGCCACTTTGCAGGTTTATTTTGTCGTTCACAAGTCGACATGTTAAAGGATGACCAGTATGGCCAGTACAGCTCCCCATTGTTGCTTTGGACCGCAAAACCGATGACGCTTGATAGGTAGGTGAGGTCTCGGGCCGTGCCGGGGTCTGACCGATGCCTCCTGTTCTCGTGCTCTGTTGGCTGCCTGAACGACGCAGCCAGCTTTTCTGCCCAACAGGCTCAAAACTGCATACCTCAATTGTGAGATTCTGGATTGGGCATCACGTTTCGAAATCTACCAAGTCTCCTAATTTCCGTCGTACCTTACGTAGCCTAGGGGAGGGGGGTTGCGGGGGTCAGGCTGCCCTACTGCCGCGCTAAGCCGTGCGTAAACTCGGTAGAAGTTCACGCAGGGCAGAAACGGAGACATCAACACCCTCCTTGTTGGTCTTTCAGAATTGCCAACCGCTTGGGAATGGATGGGTTGAGCCCCCCCACGATGACAGCAGTTTCTGGTGGGGCGAGCCCCGGATCTGGGTAGAGTCTTTGGCATGGTTGGAGCTCCTGTGCACGTACTGGAAGCAAGTGCGAGCCAGAACGAGCCCATTGGCCTTCGTGAGTTACCAGCTCCAGCATTGGCATGGCGCCATGGTTACAAGCAGATGGGGAACGGCTATATTAATAGAATCGCTCGAGTGTCGATCAAGGAACAACTTGTTTCACAGTATTGGGCCGGGCAGTTCCTTCCACAGCCTGTCTTGGAGTCGGGGTTTGACACTTGCCAGCTCCCTCCCCCGTTCGCTCCGAGCACCGGGAATGGAAGGGGCACTCAGACGGTTGTTGGATTGCTTTTCCAACTCAGCGACGGGCTGGGCTGGAACATTTCATGTCGACATGCAAATGCGTCGCACGCATCAAAGGCTGTGTATGTCGATCCACATGGTCCGGTCCCGGGGCCAGTCCGTTAGCATGACAGTGTTTTTTCCTCTAATTGGACGTTATCTAACTGAATCCAGTGCAGGGCCCACTCACACAGTTCGTCCTGAGCAGAGTTCGACAGCAAATGCTTCTCGAATGAAGCTCGGTCAAGATACATACCGAAATGTTGCACATAAATAGTTGACCCAAGGTGTATAACACTGCCTCTGCAAACCGTAGACTCATTCGGCTTTTTTTTTCTTTTATTTTTGTAACCACGGCCAGGTGGAGATTTATCCACTGTCGCAGAGATACCGCCCGAGCGAACCGCGATCGGTGCTGTGCCTCCAGGTCCCTCATCAATAAACCCACCCCCCATCTCACCCCCCAACATAGCCACAGCCAAGGAAAGCTTAAAGCAAGATCTGTTAGTGCAAAAGGCCAGACAATCGAGTTAAGAAATTACTTTTCAGCGCCAAAAGTCCATCCTCAACGCAAAATACATCGTCGCAACTAGGGGGAGTAGCTAGTTTGGAATTATTCGAGCTAAATGGTATAAATATCTTTTTAGCTTTTTGGGAAAGAAAGATAACGAAGTTTGAAGTACCCTTTAAATCGATGGTAAACGACGAAGGGAGAGACGCTAAACATTGCACGAGCAAGGGTCGGCCGGTTTAGGCTTAGTTTGTGAAATTAAGTACGCTAGCCGGGGGGGCGTGGCTTGGCGAGAGGGACCTGGGTACTCTGGGCCCCGCGATCGATGTCTTGGGTCGTTGCTTAGGACGGTCACATGCGACTAGAACACCGTCCGATCATTTAACTATCGCTGCGCACTGCTCTTACGTCATTAAGAAAAGCGTGTTCGTGGAAGGCTCGCAAAAACCGCTACGGTGCGGAAAGAAGCAACAACTTAATATTATTGTCTGAATGTGGTTGCTAACTCTTTGACTGAGCACCAGAAGCCGAGAGTTGTGGGCTGGCATGGTGGCGTATCACGTGACTGACATGGCTTTGTGAGTGAGGTGAAGGTATCTGAGTTAGATCTACGGCCAATTTAAGCAAGTTGGTTTCAGCAGTCTCGAGACCGTTTGCAGTTATCCAAATCGTCTTGTGGGCGTCTTCATCCGCCAACCTCTGATCCTATTCGGACAGTGAACCTAGCAGGGATATCCAGTTTATTGGGCGCCTCACCGCGCATGCCGCAGCTTTCCGAGACCAATGATTTGGCAACTTCTTGCCGATGATTTGAAATGGGACATGGGCGAGGCTATTTAAGGATAAATGTTTCCTTGACCACCGCGCCCATGACATTTGAGAAGCGCCTGTTGCCGGACCGGATGGATGGTCGCCTCCTGGTTTTTCCAGGAGCGGGTCGCTTCTGGTCATGGCTGACAAACTTTCGACTACCGGGGGCCATGTGTCTGCACTCGTCGGAACACTGTACAGGCGGAAAGGTGGGAAAGTTAGGATCATAATAGGAATAGCGTACTTTCCGGAGCTGGTCAATCACACGGAAGGCTGCTGCGCCGCCATGCAAAGAAGCCCACTGCAGCAGCAGTGCAGTGGTACAGACAACCGACCACCGAGCTTTTCCAGAAACGATCGACCTGCCCTCTGCGAGCCTTGGAAGCTGCACCGAGTTCCGAGAGAAACGGGCAGATTGCATCTCAACCTTGTCCGTTGGCGTGGAAGAAACAAAGAAGTTGGTCTCTTTTGGCGAGTTGGTACGGGGTGGGTTGTGCCTTGACGGGGTATCGGCACCGGGGCTCGACTCGCAATGTACAGCATTGCCTGGGTGCAAACAATATAAACAAGAATCAACTGAAGGCATGCGCACCTCACCGTTGACGATTGTTATCTGGAGGTTCGTGGCCAACAAGTAGCCAATCCCAGGCCGCAAGCACTGGCCCATGCTGCATGCGCTCCTTGCCGGTGGTGCATTGACTGCTAGATGAGCCCAATGATGGAAGTGAGGGAAGAAATAGGCACGAGAGGACAGGCCTCCATCCCCCGATTCCAACACCCACGGATTCGCTACTCTGGCTGAATCCACGATGTCTAATGTTGTTGTTAGCAGTGATGCTTCGCGCTCAGCGTCAGATGGTCGTGCCGAGTCCGCGGCGTTGGTGAGAAGAACCTGAAAGCCGCCACCCGCTATTTCTCATTTCACAACCTCCATGGAAGTGACAGTGCGAGCGCGCGGACAGGGTAGGGTGTTTTCTGACTCACGGCCAAACTGGCTCCACCACTCCGAGGTGTCTCTGCATGCCATTCGACGCCAGGTGTTGGCAGCCTGTTTCTCAACGCAGCGACCCAGGCCGTGTGGTGAACTCGATTATCCAGGGTCGTGCGTGGGCCATTGTGCGAGGATCGCCCGTCCTTCCTTCGCAATTGAGGTATTGACCCGGTACCACGAGACCCGGTGCTTTGCCATCGAGGGTGTGAGCAACCCGAGTACCTTACGTATCCTCCGGATGCATTGCTAGCGTAGTCCGTTAGCCTCTCTTGATCCTCACTGTGCTACTGTTAATGACCTGGCTTAGCCGCCATGCTGGGATTTCCGCCCGAGGCCTTGCACCCCAATTTCGCCATCCGCAGGTCGCACCGTTTTGGGCAATCTAGCCAAGCCAGCCAGGATCCAGGGGAGTTCCAGGGACCACACTGTTTCCCGAGCGTGCCCTCCAATCCGTGTGTGGTTCATGCTCCCGCCTCCACCGAACCCGACAGCAGCCTGCCTCTCTTCTTGCACCCACAACTTGTTCAGGAGGTGGGATGCGATCGGAATCCTAAACACTGAAGCCGACAATAAAATTTTGCAGCTACGTCGACGAGTAAAGGAACCAACAATTGCAACAGAAGAGCATGCCACAGTCGACCTTGTCATTGCGCCCCTCATTTTTCTCTCCGAGTCTCCAATAGAGTTGGCCTTTGCTCCCAAGCTACCTTACCCGCCCGCCTACCGCTGTCGTCTCCTTCCTGCCTGCTGCCGCTCCCCACTCTCCTGACCTGCTCCGACACACCGAGCAAAGGTCATCCGTTCACTGCTCCCAATCCTCGCTCTCTGTTCCACCGCACAAAGTCGCCCGACCGCGAAAACGACAAAATCCCGCCACCAGGACGATGACTGTGTCAAGCGACGCTGCTAGCAAGCTCGAGGCTGTCGCTACAATGTCCAATTCGTCGACGCCTTCGGCTGGGAGCGGCGCCGCGCCCGTAGGCGACGAAGCTGGTAGGTTTGCCCAACAAAACCACACAACACAGCGCTTGTTTTTAAGTCCCGCGGTTTCGCAATCAATCATGCCCTACCTCGATTTTCTTGTGGTTGGAGCGCGAGCTGGCTAGCTAACGAGCCGTTTTTCCCACGCAAAAGCCTCAACCATCATGGTCAACACCAAGGCCCCCGCTGCCTTCCCGCCGCCCAAGACCGATAAACCTCGCCCCCACATCTGCGGCACTTGCCAGCGCTCCTTCGCCCGCCTGGAGCATCTCAAGCGACATGAGCGGTCGCACACTAAGGAGAAACCGTTCGAGTGTCCCGAATGCGCACGGTGCTTTGCTCGCCGGGACCTGCTTTTGCGGCACCAGCAGAAGCTACATCAGACAACGACGCCGTCGTCCCGACCCCGCAATCGCCGCGAGAGCGCGAGTGGGGCGACACCGGGTGCCAGCCGGGTCCGGAAGAATAGCGTCGTGGGCCCCGGTGCCGCCGCCGCCGGCAACAATGCCGCTTCCATGAGGCCTAGGGCAAACACGATCAGCCATATCGATAATGCGGCCATCCAGATGATGGCTGCTGCCACTGCCCAGACCTCAAGGATGCCGCCCACCCACAGCCGCCATCCAAGTTTGATTGGGTTGCCAACCCATCACGGTCTTGAAGCCTATGGCATGGCTTCTGCCTTGGCCCATCGCGGAGCGCCACTCGGTTTGCCCAAGCTCGAGACGCACGGGATCAGCGGCATGGACTTTTCTGGTGGCCTTCGGACAGCTCCAGCAATGCCATTCGGCTCCGAGTTCGACATGGAGGGTAGCTTGTTTTTTGGCGGCTCCTCGGGTTCCACTATCAATCCCAATGCTCTACACTACAACGACTCCCCACCGTCGATGGCTATGGACGCCCTCTCATCTTTCCCTCATGGGCTCCCCGACATGTCGGCCGCCACACAATCGCTGGACGACTTCGACTGGGTAACAGGCTTCGATCACACAATGTCGTTCAACAATGGGCCGGTAGAGACCGCCGTGGACGGTTCCTCGCCCTCCGCACTGAGCACCACAAGCCAGAGCGGCATCAGCGATGTCATGGTGGACGGCTCGAATCACCACACCGCCACGGCGGCGACGAGCTCGATGTGGCAGACGTCTATCATGGGGCCCCCACAAATGAGTAACCCCTTCGCCCTTGACATCGGCGGCTCCGTCTTCCCAGATCTCTTGAACGGCGCGCCCGTGTCGCCGCAACCATCGTCCGCCAAACCCATGGGGGAGACATATTTCTCGACTCCTTCACCCTCGCTGCTCTCGAGCTTGAACACGCAGAACATGAACCAAGCGCTCAGTTTTGGTGCCGGTCCGGAGACGCCGTCCTCGATGAATGGTAGTAATCATGGCACCCTACCCGTCTCGACAATCACTGATTCAACAAGAAATGCCATCCTAGGTGCCCTGTCGGCCTCCCAGGCGTCCCAGTTTGGTACGCGGAGATACTCGTTCGCCACGCCGACCTCCCCTCTCACCACCCAGCCGTCCCCGATCACCGCTAGCACCGCCGCCAACACCAACAACGCCGTCGCCAGCAATTCCGATCAGCTCGGCTCCCTACCCACGACCCGAGACCTCCAGCGATACGTCGGTGCCTATCTGCGATACTTCCACCCCCATCTGCCGTTTGTGCACATACCGACGCTGACGTTCGATTTTCCTGCGCAATTGTTGGCTAACGGGCGAAATAGCGGCATTGGGGGTAGTGGGTGTTTGCTTCTTTCTATGGCGGCCATTGGCGCCTTGTTTGAGTTGGAGCACCAGGCATCCATGGAGCTGTTCGGGATGGCCAAGAAGATGATCCAGCTGTATCTCGACGAGCGGAGGAAGGCGAACGTAAGAAAGGCAGAATCCATTCGGCGCACTCCCATGTCGGACCACAATTCACAGCAGCAGGAACCCCCCGTCGAGACTCCCGTGTGGTTGGTTCAGGCCATGCTCCTGAATGTCGTGTATGGTCATAATTGCGGGGACAAGCGGTCTGGGGAGATCGCGTCCACCCACGCCGCCGCATTAGTAAGTCTCGCGCAGGGAGCAGAGCTGCTGCGGCCAGTACGAGTTGAACCTTCGGCCAAGGACGTCGAGATGATGGATGCTGACGGCGCCGGCGGGTGGAGCGGGGCCGGAAGACAACATGCCGACGAGCACGCCGAGTGGCTGCGCTGGCGGGCCATTGAGGAGCGGAAGCGGACCCTTTATGCCGTCTTCACCCTATCTAGCCTCCTCGTGTCGGCGTATAATCACACACCAGCCCTCACGAACTCGGAGATCCTGCTCGATCTGCCCTGTGACGAAGACTTTTTCGAGGCCGAAAGCGCCGCCATTTTCCAAGCCAAGGGTGGGGTGGCAGCAGCTAATCACAATCGGATGACGTTCCACGAAGCTCTGGGGAAGTTGCTGCGTACAAACGAGAAGCAGTACAAGCGCCCTTTTACTAACGCCCACCAAGCCTTCGGTTCGGCGGTCGATGCTAGCGACTTGCCCAAGAGCGACCTGAAACCAAGTAGCTTCGGTTGCCTGATACTGATCAATGCATTGCACAACTACATTTGGGAGACTCGTCAGCGACACCATAACAAGGTTTGGACAAACGAGGAAACCGAGAAGATGCACCGCCACATTGAGCCGGCGCTTCGGGCGTGGCACGCCGCCTGGGCAACCAACCCGCAGCATAGTCCGGAACGCCCGAATCCCCACGGTGCAGGGCCGCTGTCAGCAGATTGCATTCCGCTGTTGGATCTTGCCTATGTTCGCCTCTTTGTCAATCTCTCACGGTCCAAGGAGAAGTTCTGGCAGCGTGATTGGGACGGGATGGCCGAAGAGTTAGCCAAGGGCTCTGAGATCATCCAGCACGCCGAGCACTCACCCTCCTCTAACGCTGATTCGGTTGTCACTGATCCCTCGAGCACACCTGGGACGAACTCCCTTACCGTCGATACCCCGCCGACTCATACTTCGTCCCCGGAGTTTGGGGTATCGAAGTTGCCGCTTTCGAGCTCCGTGAATGCCGGACTGACCTCGCTGCCGCTTCAGCCTCAGGCGCAGAGCTCGACCAGCCGATCGACGTCCCGGAGAGAGAAACACCTGCGGAAAGCTGCATTTTTTGCGTCTGAGTCTCTTTCGGTTTCTGACAAGCTCGGCGTTACCTTTGCCAACTTGACCAGCCGCGAGTTGCCTCTACAGGCTACGCTTTGTGCATTTGATTGTGCTCAGGTTCTTGCCGAGTGGGTTGCCACTCTTCAGGACCGCGTCGGACGTTATCTTGGAATACTCGGCCGCGATAATGTTGATTTCTCGCAAGTACCCGCGATTATGCTGCTCGAGGAAGAGGATGTGAAGCTGCTGGCGAAGATCGATGAGATCATTCGTGGCGCCGAAGTCAAAATGAACATGGATCTGGCTCAACTCGGTGGTATGGGGGATAGTGGCACTGTCGGTGTCGCTGGCGTCGACAGCAGACTCCAGATGGACGACAATGCGGGATACGCGACGAAGCTCCTGAGAGTCACAGCGTACATGTTTGATAACGCTGCTGTATGGCCTGGTACGTGCCATGGGGAGAGAGAGATTGTTCCTCGACAGCCTACTGACAAAGTTGCTAGTGACCCGCCTGATCACGTCCTGCCTCGAGACCCATGCCAACCATATGCGTGCACGCGCAGAGAAGTCTATCGTCGCCCCTGCCTGAAGCCTAGATGTTCTGGTGCACTTGACTCCCACGACGCTTCTACGCGACCGGCCGTCCGACTCGATTGTCCTCGGCCTCGACTTCAGTTACGGTTTACATTCTCCGAGTTAATTTTTCGGTTGCTCAGGTTTTCACCGCGCTATGATACCCTTCTATGTCATTCGTTCTTTCTCGGCGATTAATCGGCATCATGACGATTCAGGGCTGGAACGTGTGGCCAACGGTTCCACGCATGGCATCCTGGCTCTTACCTCCTCTTTTGAGCTTGGCGCATTTCTGTTGGCTACGCATTCGTTGATTTTTAGCTGGAGATGCCTTCGGCTTCGCATCGCGGCGTTGGTTTTACGCTCGAGGGAGGAGCATGGAAACGGAAAGATATGGGAATGAAGGAGACGCCAAAGGAGGTTACTGATTGAGTACCGGGGTCGCTACTTTGAGATTACACTATGGCGGCTGAAATCCCGGCTGCTTGACGAGTTGATGATGATATGCTGTGCTAGTTGATGCTTTCCTAAGAGCGGTCTGTTCCCCACAGCGCCGGGGGGTGGGGGTGTCGACGGATTTCACACAATATGCTCATTGATGTGCATAAATTGGGGATAGGGATGGGTGGGTGGATGGGAATGTGAGTGAGGAGGCGAAAAGCATCGTTGCGAAGGGACAATAATCCTGTGTATTTTTACTGTCGGCCAAAGACGAGAGAAAAAGAGGCGTTGACAATGATGGCGTTTTCGGTCCGAGGTGCCATGCTCCGCCGCAGTTCACATTCCCATGTGCGCGCATTGGGCCGAGGAGGGTTTTGCTCTCGAAGCATGGACAAACGGCCCCTGGACCGTTAACTTGCCTCGTGTCTCAGATTTGCTTGCATCTTGCAGAAATCCAGAATAAAAAAAAACCAGGGCCCTGGCTGCATGGTGGACGAGTCTGGGTGCGCGTGCCAAGCACACTCGAAGCCGATTGGCCCTCAGAAATTTTACCCCCGTTTCGCCATGCCTGACTGAGCTTAAGCTTACCCCTTTGGTGGGTTTTCCTTGCGGGGCGCCACTTGTGTTGATAAAACGGTGCCTGGGATGCACAGGACCCTGAGTTCACGTGAAAGTTGTTCCTGCTTTTTGTGTTCTGTGTTCTGCGTCCATACGTGAGCCACCGCTTGATCACGCCGTGAGCTCACTGGAACCCAATTCCTCGCTCCACTCTTAGCTCTCCCTGTCCCGTCCCGCTGTAAAATACTTCTCAAAGTAGACCTTTGATGCGGTCTGATCCTCGCTAGTTAGCTAACTGCAGCAAAGGGGCCAAGTGGAGGGAAAATGTTGGGATCGATATGGGTGTAATCTTAAACGTGTCCCCGGCCAAGCAACCATGGATGCCGCTCGGTTCATCTCTTGCCCACGGGCTGGCCCCGGCATTGTGGACGTGGCTTGGTAGCGCAGGGGGGCGGTCAACAAAAAAAAAAAAAATGAAACGGGGTGAAGAAAAATGTGGTCTGTCCCGCTGCCGCAGGCTGTTCTTCTCGTCCTTCCTCATCCCCTCCTTTCATCACTCCCTTACCCCAGATTTCCTCGTTGCCAACCTTAAAGATGGCGACTACCACGACGACGACGACCAGAAGCCGCAGGGCCGCTAGCGAGGTCAAGTCGGCGCCCATCAAGCTCGTCGAAGGACCTCAGTACCCCGACATCCAGACCATCCGCGACGCCATCCCCGCCCACTGCTTCGTGCCGTCTACCTGGCGCTCCCTAGGTTATGTCTTCCGCGACGTGAGCATGGCGGCTGCTCTCGGGTGGGCCGCCTTCACCTACATCTCGCAGATCGAGGACTTTACCTGGCGCACCGCCGTCTGGATCGTCTACGGGTACCTCCAGGGCCTCGTCTGCACCGGCATCTGGATCCTGGCGCACGAGGCCGGCCACGGCGCCTTCTCGGTCCACCAGAAGCTCAACGACGTCGTCGGCTGGACGCTGCACTCGGCACTGCTGGTGCCCTACTTCAGCTGGAAGTTCTCCCACCACCGGCACCACCGCTTCACCGGCCACATGGAGAAGGACATGGCTTTCGTCCCGCACACCAAGGCGGACCGCGAGAAGCGCCGGTTGGCGGACCTCTACCTGGACCGCGAGCTGTTCGAGGATATCCCTGTGGTGCAGCTCTTCAAGCTGCTGGCGCACCAGCTCGCCGGCTGGCAGATGTACCTGCTGTTCAACGTCTCGGCCGGCTCCGACAGCCAGCAGAGCAAGGCCAGCTGGTGGCGCGTGAGCCACTTCGAGCCCACCAGCGCTGTCTTCCGTCCTAGCGAGGCCTTGTACGTCGCAATCACGGATATCGGTCTGCTCATCGTCGCCGGCCTGCTCTACCTCGCCTCGACCGTTGTTGGCTGGAAGATGGTGTTCCTCATGTATGGCGTGCCGTATTTCTGGGTCCACCACTGGCTGGGTATGTCTTCTCTCTCCCATTCCGTTGCTCGACGGTCTCTCTGTGTCGATTAGATAGGTAGCTAACCGACGTTGCAGTTGCCATCACCTACCTGCACCACACCCACCCCGATGTCCACCACTTCGAGGCTGATAGCTGGACCTTCGTCAAGGGCGCCCTGGCCACGGTTGACCGCGACTTCGGCTTCGTCGGCCGCCACCTCTTCCACGGCATCATTGACACCCACGTCATCCACCATCTTTTCCCGTAAGCCCGCACCCCATCATGCCCCGACACATTGGGCGATATTAGCAGACAGACGCTAACCCGCAACAGGAGGATTCCGTTCTACAAGGCTGAGGAGGCCACCGAGGCCATCAAGCCGCTTCTGGGCGATCTGTACCACCGCGAGGAGCGCTCCTTCATGGGCCAACTGTGGTCGACGTTCACCCAGTGCAAGTATGTCGAGGCGGACCCGGCGGCGCCTGGTGCGCTGAAGTGGGCCGAGAAGAAGTAATTGGGATGCGTTCGTTGCATGATGTTGTTTGCGTAGATACCCCTTGGCCATGTTGCAGGATTTGGGTATAGATGATAGAGAAAGATAGACATAGACTGGGCTGGACCGCTGTGACGGAGTCAGCGTTCAGCGAAAGACTTTGTATCTTCTGCTTCAATTAATTGTCTGCTTTGTAATATTTGTGTGATGGTATGCCGATATGTGTGGCTGTGGGGGCTATTTGTAATACAGAGGGCCACGGTGGTGGAAAGGAAAGACATGCCGGAAGACAGACGGGAAGGAAGAGAAAACCGGGGTTGGGGGAGGAAGAGAGGAGGGCTTGTACCTACTAACGACTCCCTTCCTCGGCCGTTTACACCCACCACGTCTAACGTGCCTGGCTCTCAACACTTGTTTATAACCGCCTCGCCACCCCGACTTAATGAACCTTCTTTTTCCCCGCCGCCCTCCCAAAATCCAAACTCGATTCACTCCCGTCAAAGCTGAAACTGAAATCCACCACGCCAACCAGCCCACTCACCGCCCGCACCAACCCTTCCAAATCATCACACACCAACGTGGTGCAGACCTGGAGCACCGCAAACTCAGCATACCCCGGTTGCTCAACGTTCCGCGGATCCAGTATGTTTGCCACCGCATGGTCCCGCCGGCCGACCCCAGGATGGCTCTTGCTCCTACTGATGAAATCATCCAGTCCCGTGCGGGAGTCGACCATCCTAATCGGTGCGCCATCGCCAACGTCATCTTCAACCGCGATCGTCGGCACAGAGGCAGAAGCGGCGGCGGCGGCTAGGCGCATGCGCATCAGGTCGCGCGTCATCTCGTAGGGCCGCGGGAGGGGCAGGAAGGGGGGCAGGCTCTGGCCCGAGAGGAGGGCATTGGACAGCAGGGTCATGGTGGAGAGGATGGTGTGGTGGGTGGGCTTGAGGATGTCGAGCACGTCGGCCAGCGCGGCCATCCACTCGCGGTTGGTGGTCGACGCGGACGGGTGGCGCGAGCGCGAGTGCAGCGACTGCGAGCCGCCCCGCAGGTGGGAGCGTCGAGGGCGGCGCTCATCGTGCTGTTGCTCGCCGCTTCGGTCGCTCAGGCGCACGCGGGTGGGGTGCATCAGGGTGTAACTTGTCAGTGTTAGGTAGGCCAGGATGCGGGTGCTTCGCATAATGATGTTGTCGTAGGCTTCGCGTGGGAACCTGCCGCCGATGGTGGGCTCCCACTTCTGCCACTCCGAGTGCTGCGACATGGAGGGGACCAACATCATGACCTTGCCGAAAATCTTGCGTCCGACCTTGAAGAGTTGGTGCGCCGGTGATCCCGGAGTGTTGACGTCGCCTGCGGTGCCATGGACATTCGATTTAAGCGTGGTACTGATGACGCCGAAGTAATTGGCTAACAGATAGAGGGTTGCGGAGACGTCGCGACGTAGCCAAGTTCGATCTGTTAGCGGTGATGGGAAGACCGTCCAGAAGAAGGCAACCAAGCAGCCGCCTGCCACGCAAGCGACACGGTATGGTGCCAGAAGATAAGTTCTGGAAAACCTTTGGTTAGCTGCTCTGCTTTAAAATGTTAAGGGAGGGCGCCTACGCACGGATAGAATGGCTGGCCTGACCGCTCCGAGGCTGCTATGCCAATGGTGAGCACCTGAAGCTCGTAGCCTATGATGAGAACCTGTGTGACAATGGTCATCAAGACGGCGGGGAGGAACCGTGGGAACTTGATGAAGAAGTAGTAGTTGATGAAGATGGAAAGCCACAGGAAGACGATCACGCCAGGTATCCGTTCATTCACAATATACCAGATGATGAGGGAAAGGCACATGGCGAGAACCGTCCCCCCGACTCTGCAGAGGAAGCCGAAGACGGATTGACCAGAAGCTGTGACACACGGTTAGGAGGGCACGGTTATTCAAAAACACAGGGGATGGCAGCATACTCATGGTCACTATTCAACGATGTTAGCTGGATCATTTGGCTTAGAAGGGGGCGGAGGAAAGCTCATGGGGTTGACATACTCCCGATTGCTATGATGATCATAGCCCACACGAGCCTCTGCTCCATGAAAAAGCGCTGGGTTTCCTCTAAAAAGGCGACAATTCCAATCGTCATTGTGGCGCAAGCAACACGAAAGCCGAATATGGACTCTTCAGAGCCGAAGAAATTGGTGGCTTTCCGCAGGCCATTCCCAAAATGTTCCCAAGGTGTTTCGGGAGGCATGTGCTCGGGATCCTTTTTGCGATTGTAGGCGTTTCCGAAGTGGACGAGGTTGGCGCCGGTTTCCATAACATCAGGCGTCTGCTCGGCCGACGAGTCCTCGTTGCTGAAGACGGCTTTGAACCACTTGCGCAAGCGGTGGACGGTGGGTGCAATGAGGCGTTTCTTGGACATGGTGCCATTTTCAACCTTCTCGTCGGCAAAGTCCACGAGATCCTGGACGGCCTCGCCCGAGGCATGCATGAGGTTTTCCATGTAGAGGATAATGTAGAGTTGCACTTGGTCTCGTTCGCTTCTGAAGTGGGATGGAGCGGTTGTTCCTTCGTCAAGGTCGATGCCCCTCTCCTGAACCCATTTCTTCAACAACTCCCCCTTCCTTGAGTAAAAGGCCTGGATTTTATTGTCAAGGACCAGGGCAAAACCGGGGTCACCGGGTTTCGGTTCCTGCCCTGCTTCGAGGTCAATATCCGAAGGGCCGAATCCTGGTTTTGCCGGTTTGTTGAGGGCCTTTTTCGGCCTGGGGGTCAGTTCTAGGCACAATGCGGCGTGCTGGAGCCCTTGGTCAACCGCCTCGGAGAGGATATCGAATGGCTCTTGCACTTGTTTCATGACCTCTTTCCAAACGTGTTTCTCTACGTCCTTCTCATTGGGAGCATCCTCGGTGCTTTCCCAGTCTGGACGTTCGGAAAAACGCTTAAAAATGTCAATGATGGTGTTCATCCCAAGTCTACGAGGCGAAGGTTAGTGACAGGCTGGGGAACTGTGAACATAGGGTAGGAGGCAAATGGGAGAGAGCCAAGGACGTACACAGGAATATAAACATTGCGGAACAACTTGACCAGCTCGCTTAGGTCTTTGGCGTTCAGTTTCCCCCACGCAACATCACGCTTAGCAAAGGGCAAGTCGGCATGCATTTTGCCTGCGAGCTCCCTCAATTTGGCACCTGTTTCCTCGAGCGCCTTCGCCGCCTCGGCCTCCTTGCTCAGTTTTGGCTCGTCCTCATTTTGGAGAGCGGGGCCGTCTCCCTTGCTTAGGAATACCTCAGTCTGCATCGCGGCATCGAACGTGGCATCCGGTTTAAGACTCGCAAGGTACACTTTCTGGAGCGAGATCAAGCTCCTGAGAAGCCCGATGCCACCAGCGACTTCTTTGAAGACCACCAGCCTACTGCTGACGGGGAACACCAAAAGGTTTACACCCATGGCTAAGGCGAGAGCGGTCAGCATGGCGGTCATCAGCTGCTGGACAAAAGACTGTGCGGCGGCAGTGGTCGGCATCATTGGACCGAAAGTTGCCGAGACGTTGACTAGGATGCTGTAGGTGATGACTGGGAGGTTGAAGGCGGGCAACTTGGCGCGCACAACGTTGGCAAACCAGATGTTGGCAAATAACCAGACGGCACAAACAGCGGACTGGCTTGAGTTGTACGAGGGCGCGGCGGTAGGTTGGGCCCCCACGGACGCGGTGTTGTGGCGAGCCTGGACGGCCGACCAGAGTGCTAGCATGGACACTGCCGAGCCAACACATACGGCCAGGACGTTGAGCAGGAGGTTCATCAAGAACTTGCCGCGGGGCATGATGACCATGGCAAGCACGCTGATGATGGGGATGAGGTAGCCTAGCGTGGCGAAATAAGTGGCGACAGGCCGCGCTTGCAACATGGCGATGCCTATTATCGGAGGTAGAGAGCCCCTGATGAGAGCGAAGTCATGTTAGCGAGCCGCTCTGAATACTCTCAACAGCTGCGGGTGTGGGATTTGGGCCTTACTTGAACATAGTGATGAGAGTGGGCGCATCAAGGCCCAACTTGGTAATGACGGCTGCCAGTCGATTCGGCTTCTTTTTGTCTTCGGCCGGCGCATCTTGGCCTTCGCTTGCGCTGGCCCTTCTGCCATCCTCCCTGGTGGCAGCTCTCCTCATCTCATCCGTGGCCTCACTGAACCGACCCCTGTTTTCTTGGGAAGCCATGGCTTCTCCTCCTCCGTTTTGGCCGGCGCCCGGTTCGGGTATCGGGTGGTATGAAGGGGTATTTATCGGGGATGAACTCGGCGGGCCATGCCTTGTATTTGACATGGTGATGAGTAAGAACAGTCTAAGCCGGAGCGTTCAACGAGACAGAAATTGTACTCTATGTCCTAGGTATCTAGCGTGCTCTTCGTTGTCTTACAATCTCCGCATTGGCACCAAGCAAGCTCGAGGCGAGATGAACCGTAGAAGGCATTGCACGGGTTCCGCAAGCGCTGGCCTGGAAGGACATGATAGACATTTTTGATGCCGAGATGGGGAATGGAAATGGGCTGGGCCAGGCGACTGCGTCATGAGCTGTGGGTTTCAATCGGGGGCTGGCGGGGCCTCGGCATTGCGGCATTCAGCGCTACCCTGTTCCGAGTTTTGCTGCAGCGCCTCTCGATGGTCTCGAGTCGGCGGGTCTGGGAAGACGTACTCTTCATGCGCCGATGAGCCCCTTTTAACAGCCGGCATATGCCTGCATGAAAAATAGACGGATTGGGCGAGAGGACGTGCCCATGTTGTTGTGTCCGGCCTGTTCGTTGCCGTGAGGCGAATGAACCAGTTGAGATGAGACGGAAAGAAAGCACGAATTGAGTCGACTGTTGGCCTGCGGTTGGTGGCCTATAACCCTGCACTTGCAAACGTGCACAGGCCACGGGTGTTGCAAACCCGACTCGCCGGCCCTTTCCTCTGTTCTCAACTTTTCTCCAGAAAGTCTCTTCTGCGGTTGCACCGTTATTTAGGCGACGTGAAACCCTCTTTTGGAGTTGATCGCGCCTCTTCTCTGGCGACGGGAACTAAGGTGTGCCACAAATCTGAATTTCGTTCTGGACGAGATACGAAGTAGTTCTTGTCTGAACACCGACGCGATCTTCAACTTCTTGTTGGCTTAACCATCGACCCACTGATTTACAACTTGGCCCTGGCTTGGGATCGCCGGACCGTGATCTCGGTGGGGAATACCTCTGACGCATGGCGATCGGAATCATTGTGGCTTGCGGGTTTCGGTTCTGGAACTTGAGAGGGCCCTGCCCGTTTCCCATTCCCAGTATGAATGTAGTCCGGGAGAGAAAGGCAGGCAGCCTTCCTTCCCGCCATGCGGCTCGCAACAAGGATTGCATCCAAAGGCGTGTCGTGAAGAGGTTTGTCCTGTACAACACGGCCGACCAAGCTGACCAGCTACTATTTGGGAAGCTTCGATACGCTCTCACCTCGTTTCATCAGGGCCGAGGTGCTGCGGCACGGACACCGGGCCACATCTCACCTCAACCCGTTGCAGACCACACCCATCTTTGTGGCCCATTGAGGCGAGGCAGCCAGACATATTGCAGCATTCTGCCACTTCCCTCCCAACTTGAACTTTCCCGTAGTAATTCTCTTACCATGATCACCACAACAGCCCTCAAAGACCCCCTTCCTCAAAACATAAAAAAGGGACTCACCCCCCCAACACCAAGACATATCAACATGTTGTGGATCCTATCACTCCCACTCCCCGCCACTTAGACACACACACACACACACACACACACACACACACACACACACACACACACACACACAGAGAGAGAGAGAGAGAGAGAGAGAGAGAGAGAGAGAGAGAGAGAGAGAGAGAGAGATATCTTCACACACATACACCCATGGCGACTTATTACACCCCTCCCCCATCACCCCATAGCCGCGTCGGCCCCATCCTCCTCCCCATACCCATCCCGCACCAACTCCTTCTCCCACCCATCCACAACCACCACCCCCAGCAGCAGCCGCAGCCATAGCCGCAGCAACACAACCAGCGCCAGTAGCCGCACCCGGCCCGCCCCCAACACGCACAACCCAACAGAGACGACGACGAACAGCACGAAAACACCCTACCTCTTCCTAGGCTCCATCGCGGCCGCCTCACTGCTGGCACACAAGTACTGGCCGCGCGGCTATGTGCACGGCGACAAGGAGGACTGGGAGCTGTCCGGGCTGGCGCGGCGGGCACAGCAGCGGAAGCTGGCGGAGAAGGCAGGAGAAGGCTGCGCGTCGGGCGGGTGGTGGGAGCGGGAGTGGGAGTGGGAGTGGGAGTGGGAGTCGGCGGGGGAGTAGTGCCGGGGTTGGAGCGGATGCATTCCGTGACGAAGGTCGGGGTTGGGGTGGGCTTCGCCAGAGTGTGGATGGGGGATATGGGTATGCTGACTGTGGTCATGGCCGTGGTCGGGGGCGGGAGGTGGTTCGAAGCGATGGCTGGGAAAGGGGTAGAGAGCGTGGGGGATCGTTCTCTAGTCACAGCCGTAGCATGAGCCGGGGAGGGCACCCGGCCTACGGCATGGATGGCTATGTTGAGCCCCCGTACAGACGAGCCGCCAGCCGCGAACCCGTCGAACGCTTTATGACGATTGACCGGTATTACCCACCCGCCCCGGGCCGATATTTTGTAGAACAGAGCACATCCACGGCTGGGTTGTCAAGTTCCGGGTCACGGTATCTTTTGGAAAGGAGCTCGTCGAATGCGGGATTGAGGTCTACGAGTTCGTCACAGCGCAAGTACTACGAGGAAGACCATCCTGGCGAAGTCATCTACATTTACCGGAATCCGCCGGCAAGGGCGAGGCGAGCTTCGTTTGACGCGGGCAGAGTCGGACGGTATGGTGAGGGGGGTGATTGGTATTATCGTTGAATCGTTGAGGCAGTGTGTTATGTGCCTGGGTCTGTGAATCTGATATATATATAAATGAATCGGGATTGGTGACTTGTTGGAAGTTATTATAGAATCAGCATCGGGATATAGACTGAGCCAACACTGAATCGGACAACTGGCGTTGCACCATGCTGGCCACGACACCGCCGGCGCGGTCTCTTGCACTGATGAAGCTCTAAATTGTTCAGGTCATCATTCTCTGTTTTAATTCGATTCAAGCGTATAGATCCCGTGCCTGAACGCCCCTTAAAGCTACCCACCCTATTCTAGCTGGCAAGTTGCCGACTTAGCAGCCGAGCTCATCAACGTCGTCTTCGTCTTGAAGAACCTTCTTCCGCTTCCTACTTTTTAAAACCGCCCTCTTTGGGGCTTTGGTAGGGGTCGTGTCCGGCGAGGTCTTCGGAGAGTCCACCGTATCCTTTGGCTCTTCTGGTCTGTCAAGATCCTTAACTTCGAAACCATTCCAACTAGCCCCCGCCGTCTTTGCAACCAAGTACGGGTTGATATCCGCACTAAACCATCTCTCGCCCCTTGTACTACTCCTTGAGCCGCCCTCCAAGGCCGAAAGCGCCGCTCTGGTGGTTCGCATCCGCTTGGACCCCTGGCCCCCTTTACCACCTTCGCTCACGAGGCTGCTCATCTTTACCCGCTGCTTCTGGAGCCGTGATTCATAGGCAACGATGCTTCGAACATACGGCGCCACGTCAAGGGTAATGAGCTTCAACGTACGATCGAAGACTGAGGGCTCAAGATAAGAAGCTAGCTGCACCGGGGTTGTGTCTGGAGCGGCAATTGGGTCAAATGCGAAGGCAAAGTCTATGCGGTTGATGGCGGGGGTGCTTGGTAGAGGGGATGTAAAGCTGTCCTGGAGACGGCGAGCAGCATGAGTTTCTTCCAAAGGTCTCAGAGTAGGCACGGCTTGTTTTCCGAGCCTTTCAGTTTGCGGTTCTAGCAAGGACCTGGCAAGAGACTTGATGGTGGAAGCGATGCATGTCGAAAGTGAGTTGTAGTGCATGATAACCGGCGTTTCGAGATGCGTGATACCGAGCACGAAGTCGTCGCGGGCCTTGGCGGGTAGGTCTGGCTGAGTCGTGTCCATTGACTCCTGCGAAACGAACGGTTAGAATCGACATAGCGTTGAATTAAATTGTAAACAACTCACCTCTTTAAATGCGGCGAACGACCGGGAAGAACATACGTCTGCCGCACTCATCGCCTCAGCCAGGTCATCGTAAGCACACAACGCACCCAGACGGTCAGAGGGGGTTTGGATAACCGGCTCCGAACCCTCTGCCCATCTGGTCATCTCGGGAGTATCCTGCCAGTTCCCCAAGTCAAATCCCCATGAATCCCAGGCTTGATGGAGGACCTCCTCTTCGACGAGCCGCGGAGAAAGCATTGGGTCAATGATGGGATCCCGCCCCAGTAGGTTCATCCCCGCCCGGTATGTGTCCTGACTGATGACTCTGACCACCTCCTTGTTCTCGTCGAGGTCGACGCCCCTTGGCCAGCGAGGATAAAACCAGTCCAGGCCGCCCCTTCGGTCGCCCACTCCAATCTGGCACCAATACTGTAGATCCATTGTCGTGGCCCGTAAATCACGGCCGCGAGAGTTGTATAGCTGCTCTACCGACCGCCGGGCGAGCGAATGGCCTTCGTTTGCCGCGATCAGAAGCAAGCGGTCGACTGCGAGTTCATCTGGTGGAGGACTGAGCCGAAAGATACCGTGGAGCGTCAGCGTATGCAGGGGAACAAGCGTTTCGTCATTGCAGGTCATGATGAACGGTCGCTTGGCTTGTGCGATAGGGCCCGACAAGGGGGGGGCCAGAATTGGTTATCCCCCTG